ATATTATAGTATATATTTTAAATATGTACATATAAGCATGAATGAAATGTCTCATAGGATATATATTCATAATATTAGCTAAGAAACTAAATAGGGTTAAACTAAAGAGCGGCTAGACTAGAGGGGCTAGACCACGCCCCATACCTCTTCAAAGGCGCTGCAGAGCTTGGAGCAGGCAATGGCCGCCGACAGCGGATACCGGCTGATGGAGATTAGCTCCTCGGTGTAGTCGGTGTTGAGAGTGCCGTGAGCGAAGGCGCCAATGACGATGACCACGGGCTCTTCGTAGGCTGAGCTGCCCTCCTCGCCCTTCGGCACCAATTCACGACAATTGGTCACCAACCTGCCGGAGTAGGACATCGCATACTTCTTGCAGCCGACGGGCAAGTGATCTGTGATCGGATTCTTGATGACGCTCATCAGGCGGCGCGACGTCTCGTTGGCGCGTACTTGAAATTTGTGCAGCAGCTGCACCATGAGGCCGGCGAAGCGTTTGAATGTGCGCGGTATCCGTGTCTGTGGATTGATCTCGATGATCACATTCTGTGCGGTGCGCACAAACACCTGCAGCAAGCCGGCGCGATTCAGCGGCGAATCGAACAGCATCAACAGGCATTGGTGGGTGATGTCCGGCCGGCAGGTGCCCGGTTCTCTCTGATTTTTCCGCAAAATGCCCGCATGGTCATCGCAGTTGAGGAGCTCGAATGTCCGGTTCACCTGCAGCACATGAACGCAATAATGCCAAATGTTAATAATAATGATAATTATAGATATCGAAGCATTTGAATCACTAACCTTCACAGTTTCCAGTTGCGCGCCTTCTAGTACGATTATCAGGCGCTTTTCTTTCGTATTCACGTGCAGCAACTTAAAGTTGTTTCTATCCAAATCGAACTCGGGATCGTCTTCCTTACGTCCCTCGAATTTTCGTTTCCGATTTATCATTTTGCCCTGGCCTCCCATTGCTAATCTATTCCTTTTTTCGTTAAACTGTCAACGCGCTCGGAATACAAAAACAAATGCCATGTGCACGCCGAGGTAATAGGGATGAGCTGCTGCAGCCATCGTTCGACTGTCATTTATCGATGAAGCTCAGCTGTCATTTGCTCAGCTCGAGGAGCTGTCCATACTATCGATGTTCATTATCATGCCGGCATTGCGCTATCGACAACTTCCAACTGCTTCTGTTGAAACTATTTATGCCAAAAAGTCGTGCTCATCGGGGTTCTCATAAGAATTTACGACTAATTGGAATTCTATTTATCCACAATAATTAACTGATGACGTTACTAGCTCAATCCTAGCTATCGATAGTTTTACAGTCAGTGCTTTGCCATCACTAAATCAATTTTGCTATTTATTATTTTGATCGCATTGCGTTTGTTGACAAAGCGTAGGCTACATTTAAATTATTTTTAAAATATACGGTTGACATGGCCGCCGCCCGTCGTGATATAGCGCCGTTCCTGCAACGCGTACGCGCCTTTCTGCTGGGCGTAAGTATGTCGCAGTCGCGCTGCAATTGGCAAATCTGCGAGCGGGTTATGTAAGTGAATGAGGTTTTCGTTTGATTCTATTTTTTAGCGTGAACATACTAATGCGCTGCGCTTCGAGGATGGCATAGCCGACCGCACACAGCCCCAGCCGGAGCTACCGGACGGACCCTCGCACCTGTACTCGGCCAACTACTACTGCACCCGCGATGCTCGTCGTGAGGTGCAGCCGCCCATCGACCTGGTGCAGCAGCAGAAACTGATCGATGCCGCCACCGAAGGTGCACCCAAGGCTCGCGCCCAGCTGCCCACGCCTGGCAAAGTCTATGCCTGGGACTAAAGCCGTTCCGCGACCCAATCGATTGCACGCAATCAGTAAATTAAATCAATCTATTTTTTTTTGTGCGAATGCCGTTTAATTTTAAATATAGACATTGTTAAACCACGGAGCATTTCTAGCATTCACTGCTCAGGAAAGAAGAATGTCGCTGGGCAGCACTGACTCTTACTACAGTTGTCATTCGCAATGTGGAACGTTTCTTGTTATAATTATAAAGATGAATGATTGAARAGATGCATTTGCAAATTTATTCCACTGATGAATCAATTCGAATTCCCTCTTTAGGCCAGCTGGGAATCTCCTAGTCGATTTGAAGTTAAAAGATGAAGGGAGTAAATATTAATATATTTATTTGAGTGAATATTTATTTTATTTTATTATAATTTATTACAATTATTGTTAGTTTGGCCTTAAACAATATTCGTATGCAGCCTTTGATGCTCTGCATCTGGATGTTACTTGATTTCTTTTCAAGACAAGGCCATTCAAAATAGAAATCAAATCCCTGATTCTTGATTTCTGTTGGATGTTGAAGCAGCAGCATAGGAAAGAGCGGGACGGGGAGAGGTGTGCAGGGACGGCTACTTTGATCAGCTGGCACTGAACCCCTCTTCCCGTCTCGCTCATTCCGATGCCACTCTTCACTCATCAGCTGGCCCTGCCAGCTCAACAGTACAGTGGTCAAATTTAATGTTTTTTCCTCTAAATATATGGAAAATGTGTATTTGTACGATTTGTCACGTCCCTAGTGATGTGCTCTGCAATATATTGTTTTTAGTCGGAGGATTTCCACTAGCATATCTGTTTCGAATCTTCAGTTCGACTTGCCACGCCCCTGAAGGGCGTATGCGATTATGAATGAATGCTCAAGATTTGAAAAGAGTAAGAGTGAATCTTTGTAATCGGCATTAAGTTGTCGGCAAAGGGCTTTCATCTCTGCGACTCTTGCGAGCTTTGGTTAGTCTAGACTCTAGAGATCTCTTGATGGAGCCAAAAGACGGCTAGACCCAGCTAGACTCTTGGAAATAATAGAATTCTAGACCCAATAGACTCGTAGATCCAAAAGACTGCTAGATACACTAGACTCCTAGAACCAATAGACTTCTAGACCCAGCAGACTCCTATTACTGTATTTGAGTGTGTTAAAGGAGCATTGGAAATTGTCCTTATTTCGGAATGATGTTACAGTTCGAATAACAGTTCCCCAAGTTCCTGGGAACTGATGCTTAACAGAGGACTAACCTGGAAGCCCCAGCTAATAAAATCAAAGTATAAAACATGTGAGGAGCAATATAGGTATGCACGTATTAATGTATATAAACGTATGTATTAGCTGTGCGTTTATATGCATATACGTGCATATACATGTTGCTCCACACAGCGACGCGAATACTGTAGGAGCGACCCTCGCACTGGAAAGGGGGTCAAAGTCCTGTTAGAGGCGGGCTCTTTCGCTCCTACAGATTCAGCAATGGGTTCGCGTCGCACGCACGACGATCATCGATGACCGTTAGCCGAGGTGCCGTTCGGGCCGGGTGA